GAGGGTGAGAAACCCTGCTTACTCAGCAGGTTACCCCTCAAGGTGGGATCGCTGGGGCACAGGTGAATGCCTGCTTATCTTTACCGCCGAATGCCAAAATGTTGCTCCATGTAGTTTTATTAATTTCCACTGTCACCAGCAATGAGTGTTTCAGGGGTTTTGTGGCTTTGCTCGTCCTCTGTGCCTCCAGTGCCAGTCCGGTGGCTTGTAATTTGCATTTCCTTCGTCATTACTGAAGTTGAGCACCTTTTCGTATCCTTAATTGTCCATTTGGATTTTCTCTTCTGGAAAATGCTTGTTCAAGTTTTTTAATCATTTTTTTTTCTATTGTATCACATGCTTTATCCTAATTGATTTGTAGGCAATCTTAATTGTACAGATGAGTCTTCGTTAGACTGATTATAGATATCTTTTCCTACTCTATGGCTAGTTCATCCATTTATGGTGTCCTTACACTTGATACAGTCATACCAATCTATTCCTTTATAGTTAATGATTTTTGTATTTTTTCTTAGAAAAGCATCTTCCCCATTCTAAAATCATAAAGCTATCCTCCTTTATCTTCTGAAAGTGATAGTTTTGCCTTTCACAGCCATGTCATAGAGTTTTGAACTCCTCTAATTCCATTTATTTTCTGTTTTATCATTTTATTCTCCAATCTTATTATCATTTTCCGTTTAATTTCTTTGGGTTTAATTTGCTGTTCTTTTTCTAAAATGTTCAATACGGAAGCATAAAATAATAAACACACACACACAAAATAAAGGCAACATCTATGCGGAAAAAGAAGAAATTCTGCAAGTCAGAAAGAAAATGGAATGACATCTTTTCAAGTGCCAAAAGAAAAAAAAGAAAAACCCCCATCAACCCATAATTCTATTCCCAGTGAAAATCTTTCAGAAATGAAGGCAAACTTTTGTTTCTAGTAAAGACGGAATAACAGGAACCATATTTGCCCTTACAACTGAAAAAAACAAAACCAGATAAAATATATGAAACAATTTGTGAGACACTGGATATCAGGAAATGGACTGTGATTCATGAGAGCTGGGAAATAAATGAAGGAACCGTCCGATTGTCCCAGCTTCCAGCCTTGGGAGAGTTTTCAGGCTTAGGCACAAAGAGGGTAACCCAGGAGAAGGCCAGCGGATTCCCTGAGTTAAGGAGCTGGGCCTGAAGGTCCAAGGAGACCACAGTAGCTAAAGAGTTCTCAGGACAGAGTGCCAGACAGGGCCCCATATAATGTCCTAGAATATCACTTGAAGATAGCTTATAAGTTAAAATGGATACTATGAATCTAAAACAGCCATAAAATAAAACACAGAGTTACAGCTAATAAGCCAACAAAGGGGATAAAATAGAGTTCTTATAGACTTAATGTGTCCCCCCAAAATTCATATGTTGCCACCTCCCCCCCCCCCCCAATGTGATGGTATTAGGGGGTGGGGTCTTTAGGAAGTCATGAGAAGGTAGGGCCCTTATGATGGCCTTATAAAAGAGACCCCAGAGAGCTCCCTCCCCACTTCTGCCATTTTGGACACATCAGAAGACCTGCCTGTGTGAACCAGGAAGCAGGCTCTTACCAGATACTGAGTCTGCTGGGGCCCTGATCTTGGACTTTTCAGCCTCCAGAACTGGGAGAAATGTTTGTTGTTTATAAGCCAGTCAGTCTATGGCATTCTGTTACAGCAGCCTAAAAGTACTGAGAAAGGAATCATAAAAAACATTCAATTAATCCAAAAGAAGTCAGGAAAAGATGAGAGAACATAGAACAAATGGGACAAATAGAAAACAAATAGCAAGATGAGAGATTTAAACCCAACCATATTAATAATCACATTAAATGTGAATGGTCTTTGGATGATTTTAAATGATACATAGAGGTAGGAGTATTATTGAAATAATAGATATTAGGCTATTCATATTTGTTACTTTGGAATATGGGGGCGGGGAATTAGCTCTCTCTCTGTTTGTATTGTTTGATTTGTTACACCATACGTGTATTATATTCTTCAAATAAATTGAAAAACATGAAAATCTATAATCAGAGCAGTTAGATTCTCTTGTCTCCAATTTTATCCAGCACATCCAGGTAGCTATTACTGCTTATCATTTTTACTTCCATCCCCGGAAGATTAAATTTTGTCCTCTGGTGAAATGGAGAAAATAAATAAAACTCAGTGCTATCTATAGTCTAACTTGATGAAGTGGAGGGAGGTTCATGGTCGATATCACAATCTACTTCATTTGTTTGGCTGCCATTCTCTGTGACACTTTGTGTCCTCTCTTATCTCCTATGGCAGAGACTGCTGGTTATCTCTCAATATCTGTTCTCTGCTTCTAAAGTAATAGAATCCCCAATTTTTAGCTGGAAATATTGCCCTCCAGGAATAAAGCCTTCATTTTCCAGTCTTCTCTGTAGATAACAGTGCTTGTATGACTAAGACCTGTCCACTGGGATATGAGCAGAAGTGACTGCGATTCTTCTGGATTGTGCCCTTAAAAGGATGGGTATTCTATGCATTTCCTTTTTCTCTCTTACTACTGGTTGAGAGGTAGGTGTCATGTTGGCCATCTTGAACCATAGAGATGGGGGAAACACTCAAGGGGTGGTAGAGTAGTAATTTAGAAGGAGCCTAGTTTTCTAACTCCCCTCGGAGCTGTCCAGGTGGGTTTATGAGACATAATTGTCTATGATTTTTAAGGCATTGTTGTTTTGGCGTCTCTATTACAGCAGTTTTTGCCATGTCCTAAATAACATAGCTCCATCCATTTTTAGTTCTCCTTTTGTAATTAGAAGTGGAATGTTCCCTTTCCCGTTTAAAAAAGTTTCCATGCAATCTTGACGTTAGAAGATGATAACCGTGAGAGTTTTTCTCTCTCATTAGAGAAGGAAAGGAAAAATTGAATTAACAAATCTAAAGCATTGTCTTTGGAAAAAATGAACAAGTGATAAACAATTTTCTGGTTGTACTAATCAATACAAAAGAGATACCAATTCTTGGAAAGCTCTCTAAAAATAGATCTGTAAATTTGAAATTATTTAAAGTAGTAGGCATAATAAATAGCTTAGTAAAAAACTTGAAAATACTCAAAGGACAAATTGGAAGAAAAATATATTACCAAAATCAGTTAAGCAGGAAGAAATAAAAGACATAAAACCCCCAAAGATTTATCTTATAAAAAAGGTTCTACACTCAGAAGGTTCACAAATTAATCTTTTGAAAGTTTTTAAAAGAGGTCATTTGTACTGTTTATACTTCTCTAGAACACACTAAAAGGTAAAAACCTCTGTAGCTGAATCTGCAAAGGACTCAAATTCCTGATGTCCAAATCTGACCTAGGAAATAGAAACAAAAGGAAAAGCAATCCCATTTACAAAAGAATATTACTATTTTTTCCAAAAAAAAAAAAAAAATGCATGAGCCAAATCTAACTGTATTTTCAAAGTTCTAATGGGTTGTTCCAATACTAATGCAAGATAGATTCATTGATATGCAACTTACTATTTGAACATGTTCATAAATAGCAAAAATGACCATTTTAATAGAATTTTTTAAATCACATGACATTCATTGTCCCTAACCTTTCTCTCTCTCACCAAACGTCTTCAAGAATATCTATTTTAGACTGGTTGTTCAGACTCCACAGGCAATTCCAGCAACATGATAAAATAGGAAGTACAATTTATTAATGCTATTATGTAATATAGGATATCCCAAAGTTTAAGTTTTGATAACTTTAGTAGTATAAATGCTATATGCATATAAAAAGCATCATTTACATTTTAAATTTCTTTTCACGTCGACCTTCTTTGTTGTGAATTTTAAATAATAAATTTTTAATGGCAAATGATGAGGGGGAAACCACGTAAAAGAGTAGCTAATCAATATAAACAGAATCTACAGAAAAATATTAATTAATTATACCCCTGAAAATAAGTGAAGACCACCCAAATTAGAACAGGCAAAAGCTATTTATTCAGAGATCGCTATAGCATAGGAATCAATCACTGTCATATGTTTTGGCAGAGACTCAAAGGTTGGCAGAGGAATGTTAAAAGCTTTACAGTGGAAAAAATGCAGAGCTTCTGGTCGGCCCTTGCTGGAGGCTGTTGGCATAAGGAAGCCAGAGGCCAGCTAACTAGAAATGGGGTGTCCTGTGTGATGTGTTAGGGGTGCATATTTGATTTTCTCTGGTTGGTCCTAACTTAGAAGTGGGAATAAAAATTAGAGAAGTTGCCAGTTATTGATCAAGTCTGGATCATTTGGGGCCGACTGTTTGATAAGTTATTGTTTAGCTTCCTGGACTGTGACTAGAGATAGCCATCCGGCTCCCCGGGGCTGTTTGTTGTAGATAAGGCCTTGTTTCCGGGTAGGTTGCAGCAATGGTAGGTCAGAGTCCTGTTTGTATACGTGGTCTGGCGACTGTTCGTATAGTCAGTATAGCATAACTTCGTGATTGCCTTAATCTGTCATGAGCCGCAGACATATTTAGGTAGAGGCCCCCTGAGACCTGAGAATTATTTCAAGGATTCCCCCAGAGTAAAAACACTGAGAAGGGCTGCCTCTGATTCTTCATCTGGGAAATGGGGATAACGATACCTATTTCGGGGATTATCGTGCGGCCCGAAGGATAGACCTTAAAAAAAAAGTCCTCCCCCCTCACTCCCCCAGTCAGTAGACTTTCTGGTACGCGTCCTACAGCCTGGCCCAGGTTGGGCGGCCAACGCTGGGGTGGCCATAAGCCGCCCCTCAAGACGGCATAGGGCTGGGGTCCGGTCAGACCCGGCGGGACGCTGCCCCGTGGGGAGGGGTGCGCTCGCCCACTGCCCGCCGGGCCACCATGGCCGCCAGGGGCTCATCTTGCGCCAGCCCACGGCGCCACGCCGCCACGCCACGCCCGCAGGCACAACGGCCGCCACCGTGGCCGGAAGTGCGTCGCGGCTGACCGGAACCACCTCGCCGCGGAGACTCCCGGGAGTTGTAGTTCCGCCCAATGCAGGGACACCTACGCAGCGTTGGGAGGACTCTGGGTGCGATCTGCGTGCTTCCGGACCGCAGGCTGGGCTCGGGCGGCTAGCACCGGGAACCTGGTTCGTCTGAGGTGGCCGCTGCACCTCGGGCTCCACGCCGGCCTGTCGAGCGGGCTCGTGCGGTGACCTGCACGCTGCAGAGCCGGGCGGCCGCCGGGAGGGGTGCCCCGCGCGGGGGTCTGGTGGGAGGCTCCGTCTGACGTCTTCGGCAGAGGGTCAGGGATCCTGTCTGGTGTGGGGCGGGGGCCACCTGCCGGCCAGGTCTCACCGCTTCTCTGTCCTCCTGCAGCTCGGCGTCATCGGAGTCCACCATCCGCAGGGGATCCAGTGACAGCCTTGGCGCCGGTGAGCGGGGGGTCAGCTTTCCCCTGAACGGTCACCCCTCTTTCCCAACGATGGATTCGTTTTCTTCCCTTGACCCAGAGCTTCTCTGCCCAGTCAGGCCCCTGAACCCCGCTCAGGCGTCCTGGCCTCCTTTGGGCGGGAGGGATTGCTGAGGAAAGCCCCCCTTCCACCCTCTCCCGCCTCCCCACTCCCCGTGGACCTCACATCACAACCAACGGTAGGCTCTGAGCTATGAGGGCAACGAAGGAAGGCCGTGAGAGGATCGTTATTTCGGGGATCTCCAGTGTTTGTCTTCATCGGACAAACCTTTATTGAATGTCTGGATCAGGTCCCAGGGAAGCACCTGGTCCCATCCTTGGCCGGGGTCCTGTGGCGATGTTGGTCACGTGAGCAGATAAGTGCCCTCACGTGTGGATGTCCCCGTAGTTACCGTTACTGGGTGAATGGACACCCAGGGAGGGCGGTCAGTTCCTACTGGGGAAGGGTGACTAAAGATCAGACTTAAAGAGAAGTCAGGTCTCTGTAGGTGCAAAGGGGCAAAAGGGTGTGCCAGAGGAGGGGGACAGCACATGCAAAGGTGAGGAGCATCACACAAGCGGGTGCTGCTGGATGTGGCGTCGTAGAGGAGCTTCTGGGAGGTGAGGCTGGAGGTGGCTCCGGGAGCAGATCAAGGTAGGTTAGGGGGTGCAGCCTGGGTCCTGGGTGCCTGAAGCGTTTTAAGCGAGGCAGCCACATGGTTATATTTGTCCTTGAGTCAGAATATGCCAGCAATGAGTAGAGTTGATGGCGGCTGAAACAAAGTAGTGAGCAAAGTGAGTGGCGGATGTACCTCAGATGTGAGCATGTGGCAGCGGGCCTGGGTACGAGAAGCCGGGGCAGCGTGAGCGCACCTGTTTGCAGATAGATGAAGAGGGGAGGCTGTGGAGACAGTTTAGTGTAGACTGTTCTTTTACGGCAATGGCGAAGGTGGGAAGTGATGCCGAGATGACGGATTTGTCTTTCGTTGATGCTTTCTTGTTCAAGATGGAATGGACTTGAGCTGGGGGGAAAAAAAACGGAACCAGTACTCTAATTTTAAATCTTCACAAGGCCCAACGTATCAATGTTTTCCCATTATGACTTGAACTTGGGTCTTATTAAAGGAGATATTCCCTGTGACAGTTCATAATTTTTTTTTACTGTTTTTACTTAGTAATATTAGAAAATATCTCAGATGCCTAGGAAGTAAAACAAGAAACTTTTGTACCCATCATCCAGATTGAGCAAATGTTAAAGTTTATTTGCTTCAGATTTTCTAAAGAACTGAAACCTTATACATATCGTATGGACCCCTTTTGCATCCTACCTGTTCCATTTTCCTTCCTCTCTCTCTGGGGTCACAACTCCTGAAATTGCTATATATTCTTCTCTGTTTTTGTTTATTTAACAAAATGTTAAGTAAACAAAATGTATATAGCTGTAAACAATGTATATGACTTGTGTGTTCATACATTTGCCTGTGTTTCTTTTGGATTGGCTTCTTCTTGATTATCTTTAGTATTTTTCATATATCCTAGATTCAAATCCATTTTGGCTTTTGCACATCACAAAAAATCTTGAACAGAATTTGATGGTGTCTGGTGTTTCTTCTGTGGGTATATTTTTTAGCATTAAGTCATTTGTAGTTGTCTAATAATTTTTAAAAATCTCTACTGAAATTGTCTCCTTTTTCATATCTCAAAATTATGTGTATTTGCCTTCTCTTGTTTTCTTGATCAGTCATACCTGAAGTCAGTCTATATATTATTTTTAAATACAAGCTAATTAGTTTATTGGTTTTAATAATTCCTTTCCAAAAATTGATTTTAGTTTTCTCTTTTTAAATTTTTGTTGGGGCACAATTTCAGACTTACAATTGCAATAGTAGAATAATACAAAGAATTCCTGAATACCTTTCATCTAAATTCCCCAAATATTAACATTTTACATTTTTATGGGGGGTGGGGGGATGTCAAGGAATTTCAAGGCCAGTTAAGGAAAAAGCTATAACCATGAGGTGACAGGAGCACATGGAAGCTTTATTTAGGAATTCACATGGGGAGGGGGCATGTCCCTGGAAGCACGAGACCACCAGGGGCCATTTCCCAGAGGGCTGAGGACAAGGGAACCCCTAGGCATCTCTGGGTGAGAGCCTCTTAGGGGTAGGCAAAGCAGGCGGGCTGTAGATGACTACAGATCTGCTTAGCTTTGGGCTGCGTTGAAAACACTTGCATGTTGACATTTCAGTGTGCTGCTGCTGGCCTTCTGAGCTAACAGTCTCAGGCAGCTGAGAAGAAATAAACAACCCAGGGATCACTGTGCATAACCATCTTTGGCTCATTTACACAACAGCTTGCTTTATCCTCCTTTTCCTCCCCCCTCCGTACGTGTGTGTGTGGCTCCTTCAGTGTGCATTTCCCCGAGACAAGGACCTTTCTGTCACACCATCACAGTATAATGATCAAAATCAAAATACTAGCGTTGATAACGTACCATTGTCTAAGCCGCACGTCTTACTCAGATTTCACTAATCATCTCCATAATACCCTTTCTAGCTAAAGAAATCTCAGCTCATGCATTGCTGTTTTTCTTACATCTCTTTGGTTCTCCAGTATTTCATTATCTTCAATAACATTGACGTTTTTGAAGAGTACAGGCCAGTTATGATAGAACAATCCTAGATTCAGGTAATACATTGGTGGCAGGATTTTTTTTATCTCCTTTCTTTCTTTGATTTCTTCTTTTTAAATCTCTGCTCATACTTGTTTATGTTTTCTAGATTTACTCTCTTTTCCTATTTTTCAATTTTTATTTAATGCTTATCTTAGGGCTATACTTTTCCTTTAAGTGTGTGTTTGTAATTATCCACCAACTTTGATATGTAGTACTTTGCAGTCATCACAAACATTTTCATGTCCTTTTTACAATTTTCTAGTTTTATTGATTTTTGGTTTAGAGGGTGGCATCTATGCAATATGGAGGTTTATTTTTTAGCTTATTTCTCAATTTTTATAACTATCCCAGATGTGCCGAAAAAGAATGTATATTCTCTAATTATCAAGTATATTCTTCTGTCTGATCCAATAGATCAATCTTTTGTCATTCAAATGTTATACATCCTTACTCCGTTTTTTGTATCCTAGATTTTCATTTCTCAAACTGTATCCTGAAATCTTACTGCGGTAGAGGATTTGCCAGTTTCTCCTTATTGCGTCAGTATTTATGTGCGTTTGAGCTGCGTGTGCATCGTCTACATTCATGGGCGACACAGACCTAAGATTGGGTTGGCTCCTGGTCCTTGCTTTGTCTGTTCGTCATGGGTTGCTCTTTCTTGCTTTTTGTATGTTTCGTATTTTGTTTATCAAACGTCCGACATTGTGTGTCGGCAAAAAGAGACTTCTCCTTGGCTGTCACTGTGTGGAAGCTGCGGGGAGGGGGAGAGTTGGGGGCAGGGCAGGAGGTTGGTTGCGATGAGACTGGTCAAGAGTTGAACTGGCTGGCATTTGTTGTTGCTATGGTTACCATCAGGCCACCGCTGGCTTTGCATTTCTCTGGCATCACTGTGCAGACAGTGGGCCGATAGCTGTTGCTCCCTCTGCTGCTGGCCTAACCCACTTTGACTCTCTTGGTTCTGATGCTCCGGCTTGCTCCTCAGTGGGGGCTAGTCTGGTGGTAGAGGGCAGGGTGCTCTTTCTTTCTCAGCCCTAGGAGGGCCCTGGGTCCCTGAGTGTCAGGGCTGGGGCTGTCAGGGACGCTGCTCAACCCCTGTGGTAGGAGGATCTAGAAGCGTGAGCCCAGGACACATGCCCGCCCTGCTCCTTTTCCCTGCCAGGTGCAGTAGGTCCCCAGTAGGTCTTACCTGGGCTCCGGGAGCAGCAGGGTTTGCAGCCCTTCCCCCAGCAGCGTCAGAGAAATTTCTGGAAGGATGAGGCTTCCCACAGTGGCAGCCATTCCCCTCCTCCAGATTGTCACTGCCCAGGGAGTCGTCTCTGGTCACCTGTCCAGCCCTTCTCTTTCTGCTGAGCACTCAGTGGCAGTCTGGGTTGGTTCTCTGTGTCACACATTACTACAAATGTAGTGATTTAAAGCAGTAGCCGCCGGCTCACAGTTCTGCCGGCCAGAGGTCAGGGACCATCCAGGAGTTGGGTTAGGGGAAGGTTTGCTAGGAGGACCGGGGTCCCCCGCTTCAGGGTGTGAGAGGACGAACAAGGAGAGAAGGGATCGAAGTGATCCAGAAGGTGACCCCAGCCACCCGTATCTCTGCACTCGGCGCCCTTCCTCTCATTCTCCACTGATTTCAGCCCATCCCATCGCACCGTCACCCCCGTACCTCACTTCCAGTGATGCGCAACCCTCTCGTTTATCAAGGCACGGAAGTTGCTTTCTTAAGAGTATTTTGTTTTTCCTTCTCATGGTAAGAAAACAGGTATGAGAGAGGTGTTCAGAGCCACCCAGCTTACTAGAGGCTGAGCCAGCACTAGCCCCGGGGCTCCTGTCCCCGGGTGGGGGCGTCCCCCTGTGTGCCATAGTTCGTCGCTGACACCCGCCCCTTCCCACCTTGCAGATTCCTCTCCTGAGTCCAGGGGAAGGACTCTGATGGGAGGTCATGGAGAGAAACCCCAGTAAGATGATATGTGTGTATTCTTATGAAATACTTAAATATTAAACAGTGAGCACGTTTGTTTTAAGAAGTAGGAAGCTGAAACTTATTGGATTTCATTAAGCAATGTCACCATAAAAATAAATAAATTAATTTTTTTAAAAAGTAGAAAATGGCACTGTGTAAAAACAAACCCCAAAAATCCTACGATGCGAGGGTAACATTTTTAACATTTTGTGTGTTTTCTACAGAAGTTTTCTTTATATGATTATAAAATCCCATTCCACGGGCTGAAGTTGATGTATACAAACAGGAAATGGAGTAAAGTGTCTCCAGCTACTGTTTTTGACCCACGCTGGAGGGTCTGCTGGAGGGTCTGCCTTCCCGTATTAGCTTCCTGGGGCTGAGTAACACAGTACTACCAGCTGAATGGCTTAAACAACAGAAATTTAATCTCTCGTGGTTCTGGAGGCCAAAAGTCCAAGATCAAGGTGTCACAGGGTATGTTCCGTCTGTGGCTGAGGGAGGATCTGCTCCAGGCCCCTCCCCGGCTTCTGGAGGTTTATTGGCAGTCTGTCTGTCATTCCTTGGTTTCTGCTGCGTCACCCTGATCTCTGCCTTTGTCTTCATGTGACATTCTCCCTGTGCGTGTCTCTGCATCCACAGTTCCCCGTTTTATAAGGACACAGTCACATTGGATTAGGGCCCACCCTCCTGGCCTCATTTTAGCTTGATCATCTGCAAAGACTATTTCTAAATAAGGTCATACCGAGGTACTGAGGGCTACGACTCCAGTATATCTTCTGGGGAGACAATTCAACCCACCAGACGTCCGGACCAGGAGGATGGTGTCTCAGGGAAGCCACAGCTGTCCAGTCACTTCAGGTTATAAGAAAGAACAGTTCCCTGACATGCTCTGTCTAGAGCACGCTTCACCCTCACATCCGGTTCCAGCTTCTCCCTCCCCCCACCCCACCCACGGAGCTGCAGGTGTGGAACCGCCCCGGGGGACGGGCCTGTGACGTTGTGTGTCTGCTTCTCCCGGCTCTTCTCGTTGGATTTCTTCTCCCTCCTCCAGGGTTAGGGTACGAGTGGGGGAAGTACAGTCAGGCACCACTTAACGATGGGGACGCATCCTGAGAAACGCATCATTACCTGATTTGACGGTAGCGTGAACATCGCAGGGTGCATGCGCACACACCTAGCCGGCACGGCCTGCCTCATGCCGAGGCCGTGTGCCGAGCCTGTGACCCCCGGGCTGCACTGTAGCCTGTGCGGCACGTTCCTGTGCAAAACAGCTCGAGATGAAATCAAAAGGAGATGTCCAAGGATGATGCTGGCGTAACCTGACATCCTATTTTACAGCAAACTTTTCCTTATAAATAGAGTGCACTCTAGAGTAACAATAGAAACTATAGTATAATACGTAAACCAGCAACGCTGGCCTCTATCGCCGTTGCCAAGTGTGCACTGTGCGTAGTTGTATGTCCTGTACTTTCATACGACTGGCAGTGCAGTGGCTGGTTTACCCCAGTGTCACACAGACACACGAGTGACGCAGTGCCCTACAGCAGGACTTTTAGGCCCCCTCATACTCTCTGGGGCCCTGTCACGTATGCAGTCCACTGTTGACCAAAACGTCGTCACCTGGCGCGTGGCTGCAGAGGAAGCAGCACAGATCTCTCCTTGCTCGGTGCTGTTTGTCCCTCTCACCGCCGAATGCTGGCTGACCTGCGTTACGTAGGAGGCCACGCGATGGCTCTTTTTCGGGCGGACAACCTGTGCCAGCCCCCAGCTCCTGGCTCAGTGGTCCTGCATGTCAGGGCGGCATTCTTCACCGGGCAGGCAGCCTGCTGGGTCAATGTCCTTGCTGTAGGTAAAGCTCAAGCTCGCTTACCTTCCCCGCCATCCATTTGGCCCCCCGCCCTCCATGGAACTTTTCCATCCTTGTGCCAAATGCAGGCAGCGCAGGTGCCTCCCACTCCCGGCCCCTCTCCTCACTGGGCCTCCACGGCGGCCTTAGCCAGCCTCTAACTTCCGAATTCTTCAGCCGTGAACCTGGCTCCTGTTTCTGGGTCCCCGGTGCCCTACACTCTCTCATGCTCCCTTCTGGTGAACTACTGGGCACCTCAGAGTTTCCGTAGGTGGACACACACTCAGCCCGGGGGCACAAGAGC